AAATGTTCCAGCTCTCCCATCTTTGCTCACATGCTTTGTGCATTTACATAAAAGCTCCTACGCATGGGGGTCCCCCACGAAGGGCTGCTTGTTTGCTTCTCCTTCCATTGGACCAACAATCCCATCCCATCATGTTCCCAGTCCTTATTACTAAACTATCATCACTTTGTTGTTCTTGACCCTCATTCCATAGGGATGAGGAGTCCCAAAATGAATGCAAGTCTCCTGTGGGCTTTCTTTCTTTCTTTCTTTCTTTCTTTCTTTCTTTCTTTCTTTCTTTCTTTCTTTCTTTCTTTCTTTCTTTCTTTCTTTCTTTCTTTCTTTCTTTCTTTATGTATGTATGTATGTATGTATGTATGTATGTATGTATGTATGTAAGTATGTATGTATGTATGTATCTATCTATCTATCTATCTATCTATCTATCTATCTATCTATCTATCTATCTATCTATCTATCTATCTATCTATCTATCTATCTATCTATCTATCTATCCCCCGCCTATTTAGTCGAACGACCACTCTAGGCGGCTAGAGTAAATCCCCCGGGATTCAGTTTAAAAGCTGCTCTGCCATCTTTTAAATGTTACACACCAGCAGTTCAGTTCCGTGTTCATTGAAATGAAGCCCGCCCATCTTGTGCAAGCCTGGCTTGTTCCAAATCATTAACGAGTGCCAAATAAATCTAACCCCCTCCCCTTGACACCACTGTGTCAACCACGCATCAAGAACCCTGAGCTCTGCCTGCCCCAACTGGCCCTATGTGTGGGACAGGTAGCACTTCTGAGAACGCTACCTTTGAGGTACAGTAGTATCTCAATAACGGGGATGACAGAGGAGTAGATGGCTGGACAGTGGCATCAAAGCCACCAACATGAATTTGACCCAACACCGGGAGGCAGTGGAAGACAGGATGGCCTGGCACGCTCTGATCCATGGGGTCACGAAGAATCGGACATGACTTAACGACTAAACAACAACAAGAAAAAGTATCTCAGTAATGTACGCCTTGGTTTATGTAATTTCTGGTTTACGAACAAAAATCAGTTTGAAATAATGCCTCGGTTTACAGTTCTTTTTCCCCATTTCTTTCATGTTGTGAAGGATGTTTCTCTGCACCTGGAGGTTTATAGCGCTGCCACTGTCGCTATGGCAATCTGCATTCCAGTTTATGTATTTTTTGCATGATGTAACATGCTGGAGGACACATAGATTTTGTAAACCAAGGTACTATTGTAATATGCAGCATTTAGAATTTTTAATATTTAATTTCACTGAGGTTAAATACCTTCACAATTTGAATGTGTAAGATTTTTCTTTTAATCTCACAGATGTGGTTCATCAAATTCCCCCCCCCCTTTCATAGACATTAGTTAAGGTATTTAACTCTGGAGCCAGAGGATGGGAGTTTACTTCCCTTCTAGCTCTGTAGTTCTACGTTTCTATTCCCTCAGTACCTATTTCCCTCACTGTCTTTGCTTCCTATCATGTTTTCAGAAATTCCTGATGATTCTCTACCAATAACATTATTTTATAAACTCTACATCCCATCCCTTTCATGGACTTGTTCTTTCACTTCTCCCGCTGAATAATAATCTCTGCAGACTTTGACAATTCCTGCCTTTGACCACTAACTGCTCTTTACCCGTTCTCAAGTCCAATAATCTAGCTGCATCACATTCATCCACTGTTACTCTTCCTTTCTAACATTGACCTGTTTCCCCCCCCCCTTATTATTCATTTTTCCTTTGATTCAAATATTTGTTTCCGCTTTAATCAACTTTGAGACTACGAAGCACAATCTGACTCTGAAAAAATAAACGTTAAGCGAAAAAACTTTAAACGAAGCAAACGTTATGCGAGGCACCACGGTACTTAAATTTTCATGTACTTCTTTGGTTGTGGAAATGACGATCCCTTCATTACAGCTCCCTCCAAAAAGTCCCTCCGTGCAGAGCACTTCCAACCTAAAGCTGAAAGTAAAACTGTCTGGTCGGGTCTCATCTCCTTCCTGGTTCTCTTTCCTCACCTTCTTGCCTGTCCTTCCTCCTCCATGACTCAGGCAGAGCCCGATCACTCCTTATTCTTGCAGATGTTGGAAGTGGTTGTTTCTCTTTTTCTAATCTACCAGATGACGAAGAATTGCCCAGCAACATCTGGGGCAACCTGGGCAGGAACTCATAACCAAGCAAGAAAATAGAGAATTGAAAATCAAAGTGGACAGGAATGGACATCATGTGAAAGAACTCGCGCAGCAGAGAAACTACATAAACGCATGTGATCTCAGGAGACAACAAATAACGCATGAAGGGAAGAAAATGTTTCGAATGAAGGAATGCGAAAAGAGCTTCAATCCGAGTTATACACTTAGGTCGCACGAAAGAACTCACACTGGGGAGAAAACACATAAATGCATGGAATGTGGAAAAGGCTTTAGTAGGAGTGGTACTCTTAGGATACATCAACGGACTCACACTGGGGTGAAACCATATAAATGCATGGAATGTGGAAAGAGCTTTAGTTGGATTGGTAAGCTCAGGTCACATGAAATAACTCACACTGGGGAGAAACCACATAAATGCATCGAATGCAGAAAAAGCTTTGGTCGGAGTTATGATCTTAGGTTACATCAAATAACTCACAGTGGGGAAAAACCACATAAATGCATAGAATGTGGAAAGAGCTTTAGTCATAGTGGTACCCTTAGGTCACATCAAAGGACTCACACTGGGGAGAAACCACATAAATGCATGGAATGTGGAAAAGGCTTTAGTAGGAGTGGTACTCTTAGGATACATCAACGGACTCACACTGGGGTGAAACCATATAAATGCATGGAATGTGGAAAAGGCTTTAGTAGGAGTGGTACTCTTAGGATACATCAACGGACTCACACTGGGGTGAAACCATATAAATGCATGGAATGTGGAAAAGGCTTTAGTAGGAGTGGTACTCTTAGGATACATCAACGGACTCACACTGGGGTGAAACCATATAAATGCATGGAATGTGGAAAAGGCTTTAGTAGGAGTGGTACTCTTAGGATACATCAACGGACTCACACTGGGGTGAAACCATATAAATGCATGGAATGTGGAAAAGGCTTTAGTAGGAGTGGTACTCTTAGGATACATCAACGGACTCACACTGGGGTGAAACCATATAAATGCATGGAATGTGGAAAAGGCTTTAGTAGGAGTGGTACTCTTAGGATACATCAACGGACTCACACTGGGGTGAAACCATATAAATGCATGGAATGTGGAAAAGGCTTTAGTAGGAGTGGTACTCTTAGGATACATCAACGGACTCACACTGGGGTGAAACCATATAAATGCATGGAATGTGGAAAAGGCTTTAGTAGGAGTGGTACTCTTAGGATACATCAACGGACTCACACTGGGGTGAAACCATATAAATGCATGGAATGTGGAAAAAGATTTAGTAGGAGTGGTACCCTTAGGAATCATGAAAGAACTCACACTGAGGAGAAACCATAGATATGCATGGAATGTGGAAAGAGCTACTGTATATTCAGAGCTGATAAGCAGGCATGAGGAGTTCATTGAGTTTTGTGCTGGTTTCCATTTTAAAGAATAAATAACAAAATGCTGAAAACAGAGAAAAACGAAAAAATGAAGTGCATTTTGAAGTACCACTTGCGATGTGTTTTACTTCTATCGTTAATTAACAGAGAGATATCACAAAACAGAGGTGATAATAGGTTCCAGTTATTTTATGACATTTCCAACATTTACTTGACATATTAGAATACATCTTAGCCAATCTATCAGAAGGTAAATGCCATCTACAAAACATTTTATATAGATTCTCTTTATAAGATGTTGCCATTGTCATCTTATAGTTTCTAGACCACAGCCCTTGCCATTTCTCTAAGTCAATATTGTACCCAAAATTTTTTGCCCATTGAACCATTGTTTCTTTTACCTGTTCATCCTCCATTTTCCAATTTAGAAGGAATTTGTATACTTTCCTAATTAATTTATCATCTCATGTTAACATTATTTTGTCAAAGGTTGTCTGTTCTTTATAAAAATCATACATTTTTAGGTCCCGTTCATATCTTGATTGTATTTGCATTATAGACCACCATGATGCATCTAACCCCTGGTCTATAAGATCTTGTTTTGGCTTTAATCTCCTATCTTTGTCTAAAATATCTGTATAAGTCAAAAAATTTCTAACATTCAAAAGGTTGGGATGAACAAATGCTCCTATGGGTGAAACCCATCCTGATATTTTCATGTACATTTTCATTTTTATTTTTTCCTATATTATATACAGGGAGTTTCTAATATAATGGTTTTGAAAATACCTATGTGTTTTGGCTTGCTGATACCATAAAAAGGCATGCCAACCCAACTGTAGATCATGTCCTTCTAAATATAGAAGTCTCTTGTTTTTACTTTGATCCTTAACATCTGAGCTTCTCTGAGGCTTTGAAACCCAAACCTTGGGAAAATTTGGTTTTTCTGACTGATGCAGAACTAAGGAATGTAAATATTGAGGGAGATCTTCCACAAACTGTTATTAGAAAGGAACGGAGAACCGTAGATTTTTGGTTTCATGGAGTACAACAGAACCATGGAACTGATGCCGGGTGAAAGTCCTTGGAGGAGTGGAAAGATAACTATCAGGTAGGGACAGCCAGCAATGGATTTTACACATGGCTGGGTGAGAACAAAATTTTCTCTGTTTTAACAACACACTTAGAGCTTGTTTTCTTTGTATACATTTATTTTTAATGTTTAAATACTTTTACATGTCTTTCATTAAAAATTATAAACTTTTTTATTGTATTCTTAGAAAGTTTGAAGTGTTCTGAAGATGTATTCTCTGTCTTTCTAGATTATGACATCTAGTGTTTGTATTTTAGATTCAAGCACATATTAACTTTTCCCTGTTATCTAAATTTAAATTCCTGCATCTTTTTACAAGTGAAAGGATATATTTTAAGTAAGCCTGCAGTTTTTGTATAATGGTATGATGTTTGGAGTTGAAGATCTGTATTGACAGTAACATTCCCCGCCTTTCCAAAAAAATGTGACTTTAAATCTATTAATGTATACACCGGATGCTTGGCTGAAATGCCATTCAGAATTGTATAGGGGTCTGGTACAACTCCCCTTCATGGATTGCTGCCTTGTCGTGGCGAAGGGGCTTGAGTAACTCAGAGAAGCTATGAGCTATGCCGTGCAGGGACACCCAAGATGGACAGGACATAGTGGAGAGTTCCAACTAAACGCAATCCACCTGGAGTAGGAACTGGCAATGCCACTTCAGTATCTTTGCCAAGAATGCCCCATGATCAGAAACAAAAAGCTAAAAGATATGACGCTGGAAGATGGGCCCCTCAGGTCGGAAGGCGTCCAATATGATACTGAGGAAGAGCAGCGGACGAGTACAAGTAGCTCCAGAGCTAATGAAGTGGTTGGGCCAAAGCCGAAAGGACGCTCAGCTGTGGACGTGCCTGGAAGTAAAAGGAAAGTCCAATGCTGCAAATAAAAATACTGCATAGTAACCTGGAATGTAAGATCTATGAACCTTGGGAAGCTGGAGGTGGTCAAACAGGAGATGGCAAGAATAAACATCGACATCCTGGGCATCAGTGAACTAAAATGGACAGGAATGGGCAAATTCAGCTCAGATGATTATCATATCTACTATTGTGGATATGATAGTAGCCTTCATAGTCAACAAAATGGAGTAGCCTTCATAGTCAACAAA